TTCCTACACCCATCCAACCATTCCTACAGCCATCCAACCATTCGTACACCCATTCAACCATTCCTACAGCCATCCAACCATGCATCCAACCATTCCTACAGCCATCCAACCATGCATCCAACCATTCCTACAGCCATCCAACCATGCACCCAACCATTCCTACAGCCATCCAACCATTCCTACAGCCATCCAACCATTCCTACAGCAATCCAACCATTCCTACAGCCATCCAACCATGCATCCAACCATTCCTACAGCCATCCAACCATTCGTACAACCATTCAACCATTCCAACCATTCATACAACCATCCAAACATGCATCCAGCCATTCGTACAACCATCCAAACATGCATCCAACCATGCATCCAACTATTCGTACAACCATCCAGCTATGCGTCCAACCATTCATGCAACCATCCAACCATGCATCCAACCATTCCTACAGACATCCAACCGTTTGTACAGCCATCCAACCATGTATCCAACCATTCATACAGCCATCCAACCATGCATCCAACCATTCCTACAGCCATCTAACCATTCCTACAGCCATCCAACCATTCCTACAGCTATTCAACCATTCCTACAGCCATCCAACCATACATCCAACCATCCAACCATTCCTACAGCCATCCAACTATGCATCCACCCATCCAACCATTCGTACAGCCATCCAACTATTCGTACAACCATCCAACCATGCATCCAACCATTCAAACATTCATCCAACCATTRGTACAACCATCCAAACATGCATCCAACCATGCATCCAACTATTCATACAACCATCCAACCATTCATGCAACCATCCAACCATTCTTACAGCCATTCAACCATTCGTACAGCCATCCAACCATTCCTACAGCCATCCAACAATGCATCCAACCATTCGTACAGCCATCCAACCATGCATCCAACCATTCCTACAGACATCCAACCATTCCTACAGCCATCCAACCATACATCCAACCACCCAACCATTCCTGCAGCCATCCAACCATGCATCCAACCATCCAACCATTCCTACAGCCATCCAACCATTCATACAGCCATCCAACCATTCGTACAGCCATCCAACTATTCGTACAACCATCCAACCATGCATCCAACCATTCATACAACCCTCCAAACGTGCATCCAACCATTCATACAACCATCCAAACATGCATCCAACCATGCATCCAACTATTTGTACAACCATCCAGCCATGCATCCAACCGTTCATGCAACCATCCAACCATGCATCCAACCATCTGTCAGTGTTTCATCCTCCTCTTCGTGGTCCTGAAGTCTTCATCTCTGAGCTGCTTTCAGACTCAGAAACTTCTCCATTTTCTCTTCATGTGTTTTTACTTACCAGCATCCTCCTCTTCCTCCTCATCCTCCTCTTCCTCCTCATCCTCCTCTACCTCCTCATCCTCCTCTTCCTCCTGGTGAAGGCCTGAAGCAGATCTGACTCCTCTTCCTCTGTCGTAGAAACAGACGGGGCTAAAGCTGCCACACCCCAAATCCCTAAAGCAGAGTGGGCAGATTTTAGTTCTCAGGTTTTTAAAAATCTAATTTTGGATCATGGTGAGCAGATGATCTAATCCTTAAATCATCCTCCTCCTCCTCATCTTCATCACACAGAGACAGTCCAGCTGAGGGAGGGGCGTGTCTGAAGCTTTGAAGGAGGAGTCTCAGGAAAGGTTCAGCTTTTATTTAGAACAGATTTTCTCTCAGGTCACTTATTTCTGCAGGAAACTCTTCAAACGTCTTTCAGCTTCAGGTGATCTGCTCAGGTGAGCTGCTCAGGTGAGCTGCTCAGGTGAGCTGCTCAGGTGAGCTGCTCAGGTGATCTGCTCAGGTGAGCTGCTCAGGTGAGCTGCTCAGGTGATCTGCTCAGGTAATCTGCTCAGGTGAGCTGCTCAGGTGAGCTGCTCAGGTGATCTGCTCAGGTGAGCTGCTCAGGTGATCTGCTCAGGTGAGCTGCTCAGGTGATCTGCGCTGCTCAGGTGATCTGCTCAGGTGATCTGCTCAGGTGGGCTGCTCAGGTGAGCTGCTCAGGTGATCTGCTCAGGTGGGCTGCTCAGGTGATCTGCTCAGGTGGGCTGCTCAGGTGTGCTGCTCAGGTGATCTGCTCAGGTGGGCTGCTCAGGTGATCTGCTCAGGTGATCTGCTCAGGTGAGCTGCTCAGGTGATCTGCGCTGCTCAGGTGATCTGCTCAGGTGGGCTGCTCAGGTGATCTGCTCAGGTGATCTGCTCAGGTGAGCTGCTCAGGTGATCTGCGCTGCTCAGGTGATCTGCTCAGGTGGGCTGCTCAGGTGATCTGCTCAGGT